TACTGCCCAAAAGGCATTACTTCTAAGGTTTTCCGTTTTAACATCTCCGCCATGGAGAGGAACGCCACCAACCTGTTCAGAGCAGAGTTTCGAGCGCTGAGAGTTCCAAACTCGACTGCCAAGAGGAATGAACAGCGGATTGAGCTCTACCAGGTGCGTAAAGGTACCGTTTCCTTGTCCTTCTACCTAGACAAAAGGCAGACCGCAAATACTTTTTCTGGATGTAATCTTTGTATACAAGGAAAAAAAAACAAAAGAAAAATACCACTACAATTCTGAACTGTTGAGAAACCGGTCTTGAAATAGCTAGTCAGTTCTATTGTTATTTCAGGCTCCAACTAACAAAAAAATAGACAATTATAACTCGATTGCAGTTAGACACATAGGTAACAACTAGATGAACAACTGAAAGGTTCAGCAGGCCTGCAAGATCTTTGCAGAACTGGGACAGTTAGCCACAGACAGTGTTATCGAAGAACAAGTAGTAGACATCTACAAATGTCTATAATGATCTTAATTATAGATATGTGTAGATCTCTAGTACTGAATATTGTAGTTAATGTCCTCAATGCAATATTCTGTTATAAGGATCTAAGATAGGGGTGTCAAACATGTGGCCTGGGGACCAGAGTTGGCCCAGAAAAGACTCCAATTCAGTCCACTCTTTGTTTTTGGAAACTGTGAAAAAGGGGGTATATTTTAACTGTAGCTTCTTAACTTTTACAACTTTTCCTGCTGATAAGGACCTCCCCAATGCTACACCAAAGTAACCGATACATAATTAAATGACAGAAAAATATACTATTAACATAGTACCCAGAGTTGGTGTTAATCTTGGCAGTTAAAAGCATCATAGCAATCTGGTGTGTGTGCAGGCATGTTGGTATTTACATGTATGCTGTGTTCTTTGGTTGGTTTTGTAAGATTTTGGTGTAAATAAATGATTTTGTTTAAAATCTGGCTTTTTATTTTCATAAAAATAGATCTGCCCAACCCACTGACCGAAAAACACCTCCAAAATGGATTCAGATTAAACTTTATTGTCACACCACCACAGATTAACAAGTAAAAAGTGTGTGAAAAACCTATGGAAAAAAAGCTCTAGTTTAGAAGGTCACAAGAAAAGAAGAATAGTTTAGATCTGTGCAAAATACAAAAAAAAAAAGAATGTCTGTCAATAAAATTAATAATAAATAAATAAACAGGTCATAACTTGTTCAGCGACTTAATAGCGGTTAGAAAAAAGCTCTTTTGCATCCTGCTCTGGTGACAGAGGAGGTATTTATAGCATGTTCCAGCCAAATAGCCAAATTCCACAGAAAAACCAGGGACCTGTGGCAACCTTGCCAAAAGTTAAGTAAATAATAACAGAAATAGTAAAATGTAAATTTATAGATCTTGTGCACATTCCCACACGTCTTTAGTTATAAAGAAATAAATACAAGCCAACAAAAATGGAAAGACAAGGTTTAGTCTGATTTTATCAAATGCAATGATACAATCTACTGGAACACTGCGAAAAGCAGCATTAATGGGGAATTTAACTAAAAGTAACCGTGGCAGCTGTTATAATAGCAGAGTTGGCCTTTTGTTGATTAAAAATACATCTTTTGTTTAAGCTATAGCACCATTAAATTTTAGCATATTGAGTCTGGCTGATGTAAGAAATGCATGTTTTGTCATCTTTGTCTTTTGCCACTTCAAACCGTCTTCATCATTTGAACAGTTATGACATGATATGACTTATTATGCAAAAGGTGGGAATTTGCATTTAGCTTAAAAACACCCCTTGCCTGCAGTCCGTCTACGTGCACACACGTATTTTGATAAATGTAGCTTTTCTATAGCTTTTAGCCTTTTCCAACACATAAATGGCATTTTACTGTCATTTTACGGTCACTGAAATTGGAGCTTTTGAAAAACCCCTTCCAGGGTGAAGATTTAAATCTAGGCAGGGAAATGAATGAGGAAAGTCAAATGTGTGAGTGTCAGTTTTGTGTGTGCAGCTTCATTGTTTGTTAGCTTCTGATTGGTCAACATTTCTGTATTGTTAGAGTTATGCTGTAGTGCCACCCGGCATGCTTTTGACAGCCCTGGACATTGTTTTTTGCATTTTCACTTGAAAATTGACATTTCAAGGCAAAAACGAAAAACTCCCATTTTAAATAATACCCACGTACATGTCGACATAGCCTCAGTGTAGTCTCAAAGAGCTGCAAGAGTCATCTGATTTACTTTTTCTTTATACATTTGTATTCATAGTTTATTAATATATTGAATGCACTCTTTCCTCACATGATTCAAAACTATTATTGAACAATCAGAACAAGAACAACTAAAACAGTTGAAAAAAAAGGCTTCAGAGCAACTATTTATTTTTGCTTCACAGATCGTGAGGCGAAATGAACACATTAGAAAGCAGCGCTTCATTGGCGCCAAGAATGTGCTGACCAAAGGTACCGCAGAATGGATTTCCTTTGATGTGACCGAAACAGTGCGGGAGTGGCTGATGAAGAGAGGTGAGCCTGAGATCTCCATATTTCCTCATTTCATAATAACTCAAAAGTGTTATCATTAGGAATAATAAAGGATTACCATTAAGGTTAATGAAAGCTTGCCTTTTTTTTTAATTGCAGGATCTAATATGGGTTTGGAAATTAGTGTCCACTGTCCATGCCACACCTTCAGCCCAAATGGCGACATCATTGACAAGGAAAGTGAGGTCCTGGAGGTCAAGTTTAAAGGTGAGCTACAGTGAGATTTTGTCACATCAGTTTTTACCCCCCCCCCCCCCACACACACACACACACACAAAAACAAACAAGCAAACAAACAAAAAAAACCAATATAGGATGGACATAGCTACTAGGGGTTTATGCAAGTCATGTTTTATGCTCTGTGTGATTTCTTACCATTCCTGCAATACATTTACATGGCAACATTTCATTGAATTCAATCCACCTTTATTTATACAGCGCCAAATCACCAACAGTTGCCTCAAGGCAAAGACCCTACAATAGCACAAAGGAAACACAGAAAACCCCCTAAATCATATAACCCCTGATTAGCAAGCGCTTTGGCGACAGTGGGAAGGAAAAACTCCCTTCTAACAGGAAGAAAGAAAGAAAATGTAATCTTCGTAATAACCAAATCACATCTTTATTGTGGTAAATAATCCAAGGTTATTTACATAGAAATAATTTTTAAGCATAGATGCTTCAATTTGAGGAATTGCAATACAGTTCAAGTGCTCTTATATTATGGTGAATTATACTTAAGGTGTTTCTCAAATAAAAAAGGATGGATTTTTTTCCACAGTTGTTAATAGTTGTTCACGGTGCATTTCGATCATGTTTATAATCAAGGTATTGATGAAGAGGAGGAGCACAGTCGCTTGGATCTGGATCACTTGAAGAGGAAAATGGAACAGAATCTCCCTCATCTCATCCTCATGATGATCCCGCCCCACCGCCTGGACACTCAGTCAACACGCCGACGCAAGAGAGCGCTGGACACAAACTACTGTTTCTCGTAAGGGGATTCACGCCAGTTTTAGCTAGTCCTTGAGAAATCTATTCTTAGTGCTGTCACGTTTTAACGGTACTTTCATGTGCAGGAGCTTAAATATTTGATACAACAATGAAATATTAAGAGAACCTAAATGTTCCACTGAAAACATTTCTTGAGACTGACTATGTTTTTGTTGTTCCTCCTCATCACAGAAACACGGAGGAGAGCTGCTGCGTTCGCCGGCTGCACATTGATTTCCGCCGTGATTTGGACTGGAAGTGGATCCACGAGCCCAGTGGTTACGATGCCAACTACTGCTCTGGGCCATGCCCTTACCTGAGGAGCTCAGACACAACGCACAGCTCGGTAAGTGGGATTTTGCTGAGGGAGTTTTGCACAGTAGAATTTACAGCAGCAGAAACAAAAATACCTTTAAGTATATCGTAGATTGCAGAAAAAAAAGCATCATAAATGTTAATGTTTTATATGTATTTTCACTACAACTATACATGGTATTTTAAATTACAGTGTAAAAAAATGTACACAAAATATAAAAAACTTGTCCATTTGATCACAAATCAATATATCTGATAAATATATCTGAAAGCTATCTTTCACAGTCAGAGTATAGGTATTGCATTGATTAAAATAAAAATGCCTTGGGCAGTAACTCTTCTAGCAGAAACTCTAGCCACTTTGCCACTAAATCTCCAGGCAGCTGTTTTGTGTTAACAAGACCGAGCCCTGTATTTAAACATGGGGAAAGAGCTATATTCTTTATTTGATATGTAAACTGAATGAATCCCCACCTGCTGGGGCATCCAGTCAAAAGAAAGTTGACTTTTGGGAAAGGAAAAGAGCTACAGCTATGTTAGCCAGAAATTGGTTCCTTTCATGATTTTTTATGGTGGGTTTTTTTTGTGTGTGTGTGTGTCATGAACCTCATCTGTGCACTTGCATCAGTAGTAAACAAGGTATGGTTTATACACTCACGGGCTACTTCATTAGCTATACCTTGCTATTATCAGGTTGCACACAGTTCTGATTCAACAAGGAGCTGGAAACCTTCCTCTGAGATTTGGGTGGATATTGACATGACAGCATCACGCAGTTGCTGCAGATTTATCGCCTGCACATCCATGATGTGGATTTTCCATTCCACCACATCCCAAAGTTGGTTTATTGGATTAAGACCTGGTGACTGTGGAAGCCATTAGAGTACAGTGACCTTATTGTCATGTTGAGAGATACCTTGGTTGTAACAAGTGAATTGAATTGCTGCTGCCTTCCTATCAGCTCAAAGCAGTCTGGCCATTCTCCACAGATGTCTGATAGAAACAAAGTGTTTTTGCTTTTTTGCATTGTTCATGTATAAAACATGGACGTACCTTGTGGGTCGGAAAACTCCATCAATGCAGAAGTGTCTTAAACGTGCATTCTATCTGAACGTCACCAGATGGCAATAGTTGTGGTTGCAAAAAGACTTCTGGCCCTATAGATGTCTATGGGAAAACAGCTTTCTGTCGTCACTTCCATAGGCACTTTTCTGCTAAGCTTGTAGGTCACTCTACAGTCACTCTTATTTCATATTGTTATTGTTTTTTGCCAGTGTACATCGTACCATGTTTCATGCACCATATGCATGCTATGAAACCACAAAGACATCGGCTTACGAGTTGCCAGTCACAAGTTGTTAGGCGGTAAGCGTTTGGTTTCGCGGTCAGACCTGCCCAGCCTCGTCGTGTCCAGTTTTTGCAACCAAGGTGGCGACATGGGAAACCCTCATCACGAGGCTTCAGAACAGGACTTCACAAACCACTGGGTAATGTCACAGTAGCTATGTTCATCTTTCATACTGATATTTGCCCAGGGTTGTTTATTTTCTCTTTTTCCCTTTTTCAGACTATTGTTTTAAAATTGTCCTAGAAATGGTTTGGTGGGAAAATCCCTGCTGGCCAGCACATTCTGAAATACTCAGACTAGCCTGTCTGGCACCAACAAACATGCCACGTTCACTGTTACTTAAATCACCCTTTTTCCCCCCATTCTGATGCTCAGTTTGAACTTGAACAGGAGGTCATTGTCACCATGTTTACATGACTGAATGCACTGAGTTGCCGCCATGTGTTTAGCTGATTAGATATTGGCGTCAATGAGCAGTTGAACAGGTGTACCTAATGAAGTGGCTAGTGAGTGTATATTTCTCCAGTTTGGCTGTAAAAAAACAGATGTTTGGCTCTCTGGTAGAGGGGCAGAGGCTCTTTGCTGTTACTACTTTCTCTCATGGATTTCTGCGCAGAAGTCTTTGTGTGCCATGTCTCTGCCATGTAATATCACATAGGAAGAGACAGCAGAGATACACGGTACACAAAACAAATGTGAATTTTATAATTATTTAATTTCTATGTCCTATTCAATAGCTGCTGAGCCTCTACAACACTCTGAATCCAGAGGCATCCGCCTCCCCCTGCTGTGTCCCCCAAGACCTGGAACCCCTCACTATACTCTACTACTCTGGACGGACACCTAAAGTGGAGCAGCTCTCCAACATGATTGTCAAGTCTTGCAAGTGTAGCTGAGAGGACATGAATGTGAGGCAGTGTGGCAGGATTTTACTCGGTACAGACCAAACCCATGCATGACTTTTGGACTTTTAGCTGTGACAAATACTTAAACTGTGGCCTCATGGCTTAGATTTGAAGACCACTCAGGAGGTGGCACATTTTTAATGATGCAGATTTTCTCAAAAAACAAAAAACCCCCAAAACAAACAAACTTGATATTTTGATACTCATTTTTATTGTTTCCCTCAATTGGTTCTGGTTGACAAGTAAAGTAGTTTAATTTGAATCTAACTAAAAAAATAGTCCCAAATAAGACTTGAGCTTAAAATATTTCCCCCTATATTTGTGAGGATGGACAACATACTTTAGAGGCTAGATTGACACGGGCACCTATTTGTGACAAAATGAAAGAAATTAAAATAAAAACAACAAAAAAAACTAACTATAGCTGCTTCATTGATAATTACTCAAAGAGGGCTACGTTGTAGTATTTTTGTGTAACTCTTTCTTGAATCTAGCCTTGATTTTACATTGTTAGTCGTCACAAATATAGACAGGTCTCTTCTTTCAGGCCCAATTTTCCCTTAAACTTGCCTTAAATTCCCTTCACTTCAAACAGTGGGCATTATCTTCAAACACAAAAGGAGAAAGGACAGACTTGCTGCTGTATCCAAAGCCATAGCTGTGGTCAGGGAAAAGGAGAGCTGAGAGAGAATGCCTGCTGGATTTGCAATGGAAAGTCAATGAACAAAGAAGGTTGAGCCAAGCTTTTCTTTTTTTGGCCAGCCAGCAGCAATGGTCTCGTTTTTATTATTTTTTTTCTCGGTGAATCTATTAAAACGAATGGAAGAAGAAGAAGAAGAGGGGACCTGTATGGAAGGGAAGAACTGTGATGGAAACTAGCCACGAGCACACTGCCATTCACTGGAAGTTTTCATCTTTAACAGGTTCACATTATTTTTGGGACATCAAAGAATATACTGGAAAAGAACACGTGTTATGCAACAGGTTTTTATGAGACTTCTTTTACATTAATAGCAGATTTAGTCTGTTATGCAACTTGTCGTATAGTGATTGTTTCACTAACTGGGAAGAAGATTGACGTGTAACAGTTTTATATTAAACTGTGGGTACTGTTACATTTCCTTTGTGATTTAGAAAGAATATGCAACATTATTGTCCATATAGGAGTTTAACCTGTTATGTGGAATCCCCTTATTTGTCTGACTAAAGGCCATTTTTTTAGTGCAGCTGTTTTCTTCTATTTCTTTTGTCTCCTGTCAACTCACCTGTCACCCTTCACTCCAGCCCGCTGACAAGGAATTTACATGTGCAGTCTGGGCTTCCCAAAACATTGCAGTCTTTCATTCCCTTTTGCTCTGTCTCTGTTTGTTTTGGTGCTCTCTTACAGTGTGAAGTCCTAATGGAACAGAAATGAAGAGGGAGTGGAGGAAAAGTTATAACATGACAGTGGCCTGATGTACAGTTAGACCTCATTTTCTCCGACTCATTTCTGAATCCCTGTACTGTTTGACATTTGCCCAATCGGAGTCATCTAGCTTTTAGGTGACATTTACATCATGTTGTTGTTTTTTCGTTTGGTTTTTTTGGCAGTCATGTTGTTTGATAAAATGATTGTTATTAAAAAGACATCATGCAAAAGTCTATGAGCCCCTTCTTAAAGCGTAACGTTCAAATCTGTGCAAACATTTAACTCCAAATTAGGAGATGATGAATGTATGAACTGTTCTTGTCTGCCTTATTGAAATGCCATTTAAAATGCTATTTTCACATAATGTTTTGGTTCCATGCAAACATAATTTTTCTCTCTTGAATCTCACCAACCCCACCTGTTTCCTGCAGGCGCATGCACAGCCTTTTTTTTTTTTTAAACCAGAGTGATAAATTCAAGTTTCTCAGGGGTTACTGCTTAACAGCTTTCCCAGGCAAAAAGCAATTACTCTTATTTTAAGAGCGTATTACTGCACAGGCATCTCTTTATTTTCTTGTTTTTCATAAAATGGATAGCATAAATCAAGCAAAAAAACTGAAAAAAAGGCATATTACATTCAGTACCGCCTAGGTATGTGTTCTCCTCCGAGTTTGATACTTGCTTTCAGTAGTAGAGCCAGACAGTTTTTACAGCGGTGCCTAAGCTCATGCTATTACTTGCAGTACTGTGTAAAAGTCACACGCCACCCCCTTATTTCTTTGTAGCTTACTAGGAAAATAGGACATAGGTGCAACAAGGTATCGAAACACACAAAAACAAGCAAACTTAAAGTCTTTATTTGATATAAAACCCTTTTTTATTCAACACAGCCTGAGCTCTCTTAGTCAAGCTTTCTTGTCATTTCTTTAAGGAGTCTTCAGGAATATTTCTCCAGACTACTTGAAAGACATTCAAAGCTCTTCTTTGGATGTTGGCTGCCTTGGCTTCTTGTTCTCTGTCAAGATGATCCCACTGCTTCAATTATTATTAACATCCAAGTTCTGGGAAGGTCAGTCCATGACTGATAGTGTTCGTTTGTGTGCCCTTTCTATCCAGGTAACAAAGCCGCTACCAATCTGATACTTTGCAGGTGGTGTAACATGCTGGATCAAAATCTTATGGTACTTTTTTGTGTTCATAATTCCATCAATTTTGACATGATCGCCAACACCACTGTCTGAAACTGTCTGCAGCTCCAAACCATGACAGAGCCTCTCCATGTTTTACAGATGACTGTAGAAACTCATTGTTAAACCTCGACCTCCTCGATACATATTGATTGCAAATTTAATCAGACCTGCTGCCACTGATTTCCAGTCAAGTTCTTGTGTAATGTGTCATATCTTAGCTTTTTCTCCATATTTTCCTTCTCTTGGAATGGCTTCTTGATAGCCATCCTTCCATTTTTTCCTATTTCTTAAGGACATGATTTTCAGATACTGTCATCTGTGATAGTTTTTTTTAAGGCCAACTTTTTCTTTTTATCTCCACTTGCTGAGTTTCTTTAATTGTTTTTAAGAACATGCTGCACACCATACCGAGATATGTCAGGTTTTCAGCAAATAACTTTTTGTTAATCAGCTGGTTAGTGCAAAAATACTATTTATGCCAGTCAAGCGGTGCTATCTTTTTTTTTTTAGATTCAGTTAAAGAGAAATGAGAACAAATTCCATGTGTTTGCAACACAATGCTAATAACGAAACCTATAGATACATTTTAAAAATTGTTCTTTTCTAAGTTGTGTGTGGTGTGTAGACACAAACTGGTTCATTCCTTGAGTTAGGTGATTTTTTTAAATACTCTAATGACTCACAGGTCAGTGTTAAATACCTTGACAAACAAACAAGGGAAAAAGGTGTAAAAGCAGCAAATGTCCAAAGAAAATAATTGAAAGACCTTAAAAAATGTTGGGGAACTTTAGCTCTGCTCGAGACAAATTTAAAAAATGATATGAAAGTCTTTTGAGCAGCACTGTACATTAGGGTAATTATCTTGGGTCATTCACACTCACTATTTACTTATGTGGCCATGTCAACACAGTTTTAAATTTGCTGATAAAGCTCAGAAGATTATTACAGTGGAAATAGGCTCTTTAAAAGACATATCATAGAAATTGTTACTAATAATACTAATAATTACTTGATATTACTTCAGTGCTGTGTATGTGCATAGTCCCCACACAGGCTTCCCCAGTGGCTGCATGACTCTGGCTGTTCTTACTTTGTCATCTGTAAGAGTTTGATAATGATTTATTAAAAAGTTAAAGTTAACTTACTTTACTACTACTTTACTACTACTTTACTATACTATTAATTACAATTTTGAAGACACAATTATAAAGTGGGAAATGTACACGTAAACATTTAAGATTGTATTAGCATTAGTAACTGGCATATCAGACACACTATAGAGTAAAATGAATGAAAAAGAACAACAGGCAGATCTTGTGCAATTCTTACCCAAAAGTTGGTGTTATTGATGGCTCATTACCAAATGTTTAGTTGCTTGTCTAAAGACTGGGTGATCAGAGGTTGCTTATATTTTTATGTCAGCTCTGCTAATGGGTTACACCAATTGGAGGGGTTGTTGGTTGAGCTAATACGGACTGACAAGTAGCCAGAAAGAATTCCGTTTCTCTACGTGCCCATTATTGTTCCCTGTCACAATTAATCAGAAATGAAGCACATTGATGGAAACACAAAGACCAGAGGGCATGACAAGGTCTAAAAACAGGGGTCGAGGCTTTAATGGGTTTACAGACAGCCCTGTACCAACAACACACATTACTGGTACAGAGCGGCTGTGCCCCATGCATGAGTGACTTTCAACCATCAACGAAAGCCAGCAGACGACATGTTACTTACTTGTGTACAAGTCCGCAGTTTGGCCCTGTGAAAACAAATTCAGGATCACAAAAATCAGGGCTCTTATTGCTTCAGTATACATAAATGCTACATGTACATTAAAAGCTCTGCAACTGGATTACCTCTTTGACTTCTTTATGTGTGTGGATAGAACCAGTCAACCAGCGGACTCCCAGGAAGAGTAAAATATCCGAGTATCTTTTTCTCATGTCAGTTTAATGGAATGGGCTGAGGAGTTAGCCACGATAAGGCCTTTCCTAACAGAGGCGACACCTTTGCTTGGGTCTTCTTATTCAGGCAAGGGCTCGTTTAGGGCCACGTAGTGGCGAGCCACATTGTTGAGCACAGTCAGACACTGAAACACATGAAGGAAATACACTAAAGCGTTTACTTCAATGAAAGACTTGGTAATGAACCACAGTTGAATTTGTTGCCATCGACAATATGAGCAGCAGCCTGGTAACAACAACAAATACTAGTCTTTCATTGGTTCACTAGCTGAATGGATCCAACACAAGAAACTTCACAGGTAATAATATATCTTGTGGCTTCTTCATTGTAATTGGGTAAGTCTTTCGAAAATCACTGTAAAAAACACTGATGTATCTGGATTCTGCTGAGCCTGGACTTTCATCTTTTATGTTTGAAGGTGTAGATAAGAACATTGTTTGCTTCTCTTAGAGGAAAGCTGACCACCTCAAGCCCAAACCTGCAATAAACCTATTTCAAGTTCTCGGCTACTGGCTGGATGAGCAAACCATAATCTGATTTGAGTTCAGGGTCCTTTTCTGGGTTGAAGTCTGACTTTCTCAGAACTTGTGCTCATCCAAGACTTACCAATGATGAATTGCATGACACGTAAATGCACAGAGGTTTGGAAAACTGTGCTGCTATTCCCTGAGCAGATTAACAGATGTGGAGGTAGAAAAAAAATTAGAGGGGGAAGTGAGAGACAGAGGGAAAGTAGTGTGTGTGTGTGTGTTTGAGTGTGTGTGTGAGGGAGAGAGCTAGAGAGAAAGAGTCAAAATAGACTGCTGCTGCAATAAAATCATCAGGTCACATCAGACTAGTTCTCAGGCCCCAGGGTGGAAAGAGTTGTGTAATTCAGCGATGAGAAGAACACACACACACACATACATACACACACATACACACATACATGCACGAGTCAAGCCAGCAGCCATAGTTACTGGAAAAGAGTGAAGGGGTGAACAAATATGTAAACATGTATCAACTTCATAGACCTTTATAGCTAAACAAATGAATGGGAGGTCTGGATCAAACTACAGCATTATATTACAGCAGAGTGTGCGTTTCCGTGACAGTATTCCAATAATAGGAGAGACAAAGAGAGGAGGGAAGCAAACTGTGGGAAGACAGACAGTGTGACATTATAATTTGCACGCCCTTTAAAATTAGCACACACCATTACACAAAACTCGCTTCTCTGAGGAGTGAAGAAGTGAAATGGCCATTTTCCCTTAAACTACACCATAAGGTTTAGAAGAAAGAAACATAATCTTCCTTCTACAAATGATAACTCTATAACAGGAGTACATGCTCTACAATTTAGATGGACAGTAGCCCTGGATGGAAAAAACAAAACAAAAACACTGAAGGCAAAAACCAGTATGCACAGGGCAGGGAGTCATCCAGACTTTCCAGCACCCCCAAAGCAGCACATCAGGTCAGAAGCGTGACTAGTTCCATATGTAGCATGAATATGGGGAGAAATTGTGCTTATGGACCAAGGTCCCTGCTTATGCTTCCTGTTTGGGGAACAATTTCCCAGTAACCAAAGGAGAGAGAGGACACAAGGAAATATAAGGTGACAAAATAAAAATGGCCATCTCATACTTCCTCGTGTGAGGTTTTTGTTCTGATATACTGCGTTTGTTTTTTCTACATGTGGCACTGTCCATTATGACCAACATCTCCACAAATGACATTATTCCAAATGTCTTGTGGTTTGTTCACTTTACAAACCCAATGAATCAGCCCTGTTATGAATCAGATTGACAGTTGGGATAACCTTTGCCCAACCCAATAGGTTGCCACGGACTTTCATATTTAATACATTTACTGAGGTGTGAAGTTAAATTTCTACTCATGGGAAGGTTGTGGCATTGCGCTAACACCCACCTGAGAGCTCCAGACCAGCAAACTGACAAATCTTCTGCCTTTACAGAAGTTCTCTGTATGAGCAGTGGGGGTGATGTTAGTTTTTCACTTAGCTTTGCTAGCTCAAACACAACCATTTCTGCATTACATAAACTCAATAATCAATAATTGTATAATTGTGCAACCCT